GACATAGCACTGAGAACACCAAGAGATTCTCTTCACTAAGGAAGTTGGCCACACATAAAATTGAGTCGCAAAAGAGGGCCACAGGATTTCCTTTAATAAAAAACAAAGTACATGTAAAGGCCCAAATAAATAAAAGTGAAAAATCAATGTAGTATCTTTGCTATAGAGTGTATAGAGTATAGGGCTGGAAGATAAAGATGGGCTGGCAGGACCAGATAGCAAGAGGTTATGGTCTTCTGTTTAAAAATCTGCACTTTATTCTTCAGGCAATGGGAAGATGAAGGAGAAGAAAATTTAACAAGTTAATTTGAAACGAATACTTCTAAAGGAGGCAAAACACCTTTATGGCTCTAAACACCATACAGGTCCACTGTTAACCATGAGTAATTTGCTTATTAATAATGACTAACATGGAACCTATTCTCACCGCTTTTCATTACTTCGATGACCATTGCTATCATGTTGATCATGGTTACAACAGCAGATAAAATCTGAGTTTACTATGTGCCTTGTATTATGTTGTTTTACATGTGTTCTCCATTCAATTCTTACAACACACATATGAGGGGTACTATTATTAATCTCATTTAACAGATTGAAAAACTAAAGCAAAGATGTTATAGTCGGATGGCTAGTGAGTGAAAGACAGGATTCAAATCTAGGTTGCCTGACTCCAAAGCCCTAAAATTAAACTACCCGCTGAAGTAATATTGCTCAATTCATTGACATAATTTGCTCAAAAATTACATGTACGTACCTATTGTAATTTAAAGTATCAGGCTAGCTCAGTGATTCTTAAATTTTATTGTATAGAAGAATCACATAGGCAGATTCCTAGATTTTAATTCAGTAAATCTAGGGTGGAATTTTCAGAGACCTGCAATTTTAACCATACATTCGGTCAATTTTGATTCACTTTGTCCATGAATTACACCCCGTGCTAGTTGTCCTGGAGATTCAAGGATATTTGATCTTCCTGTCCTCTATAAATTTACAATCTAAAGGCGATAAAAACAAAGTATACAAACAACACACAGCAATTCAGGATAAGCAATATAGACAATCCAGGCAAGAAAGACTTAGAGGAAGAAGAGTAATCTGTAATGATATGAAGATGAGTAGTATTTCATGAAAAAAGGAAACATGTTTCCTGCAGACTTTCAGGAATAGCGTTACATCCAAAGGAGAGTAGGATGAGTAGACTGCTTGGCAAGGAGAGTATCTGCATTTAGGAATGGAAAAATAATGTCAGAAAACAAAGCAGAGGCTGTGGAATGCCCTCGATGTCAACCTGAACAGTATGGTCTTTATTCAGTGCTGGCACTGTGAAGTTACTAATGGTTTTGAGGAAGAAAATAATAAATGACAGCAATAGTCTTTGGAAGAGAATGCTGATGAAGCTAAGCAAGATCAAGCAGAACAAGAATAACAGACCAAGGAAATATAGTTAGGCTGGTTAGCATTCTAATCTCAAAGAAATAAGAGTCAGAAAAGGGTAGTGAAAAATTAGAAAAGGGAGGAATGGTAACTCTTAATGACTAAATTGCAACAATCACAGCTAAATGATTTCTTCACCTCTTAAATCCAAAATTGTATCATTATCAGCTTGTTACTTTTTAGAACTTTTTCTTACATAGCTAACTAGGCACAAAATATAGAGTTCACTTATTTAAAACACAGCAAATAAGCCTCTGAGTAATCAAAATATATGTTACAAAGTTCATATACTAAAAAACTCTAATAATTTACATGTTATATATATAATACATACATATATATGTGTGTGTATATATATATATATGAACATTATTCAGAGCTACACAATCTCATTTTACACAAAGTTCTAACAAATGTAAGCATCTAATTTCCAACCCACAGCAGTCTGGAAGCAAAAAATTAGAAGAGGAAAAGAGCCATATTTAAGAGTCTGAGATTAAAAAGAAAACTATAAAAAAGTACACACGATCACTCAGGGTAAATGCTCCACAACTGTTTATTGATAGTATACATAATTCTCAGAAAAAGAAATGAAATTAATGAGAATCTTCCTTAATGTTTCAAAGACCTACCACAAAAAAAAAACTTTTAAACATTCGTTAAAGCTAAATATTTTAAATATTTTAAATATTTACCTAATGATAAATTTTAAAAGATGGCTGATACATGCCAACATAGCCCTCTCATCAATAACTAAGATATAGTCAATAGATAGTTAAAGGTAAGAAACATATTTCACAACACACAAAGTTTGAAGACGAAAAGAATGCTTTTATAAGGCATCTAATCAAGAATGTGGTCCTACTGATGAAGTTTAATTTGAGCGATCCTTTCCTGATGGCTCTGGCTTTAAATTTCATGTTCCAAATAATATGAAAGCATCCTCAACAAAAATTAACACTATTAAACTGGTTTTAAATATTTATCCTACAAATCATTTGACACTCAACATCCTATATCAATAGGCTGTGTGACAACTTTAAAAAGGACTTTTAACATAGCAATACATGTAGGCCTCTCCATTAGTTCACCAACCCCCATTAATATTTATTATAATACTATTCATATAAGGACCTTACCTATTTTGTAAACTGATGAAAACAACATTTTTGTGGGGAGAATTAAGATGTTAACTGACTCAAAGTTATACTTAAGTTTATGATTAAGTTTAAATATATATACCAAAGCCATGAACATATACCTTTAATCATGTAGAAGTGTATCATATACTAATTATTAGAGTAAGAAGAGTTTAGGTTTCAGCCTGAGGGCTTTTTTTTAATTGCAGAAAAGCAAATCTATGTATATTTACAACACTATAATATTAAAATAAAATTACCTAAACTATGTTGTAGAGATAAATCAACTACATTGAACTAAGCCTCATATTTCTCAAATACAGCAAAGGATAGAAAAAGTTAAAGCAACCATACTTATTTGAAAAATTTCATCAAATGATCAAAAAACATCAAGATATCAAAGATTAAGGTACAAAACACCAGTCAAATATGCTGTTATAAATATTTAAACAAATGAAACAATCAAATGCACTTGGTTGCCATCGTTCTCCACCCCCCTACACACACAATCTACATGTCTTTGTAATCATCCTTGCTCTCTCTAGACTCATAGAACATGAGGACACCAATTCAGCCAAAGAAATGTGCTTCAAATTCAAGTTGTGACCCATAAACAAATTTAATGGAAGTCAGTCAAGATTTTTTAACAAGAGTAGAATATAATAGAAATTATTAGACTGCATCACATGTAATAAGGGTAAATATCATTTTGTGAAACTTCTCATTCATATATGGATTATGTGCTAGCTCATGATATAAAATGTACTTCTTACAACAGACTCATAGATGTAGGCAACAAGCTTATGGTTGCCAGATGGGAGGGAGTTGGCGGGCCGGCAAAAAAGGTGAAGGGATTAAGAAATACAAATTGGTAGTTATTACATAGTCATAGGGATGTAAAGTGCAGCATAGGGAATATAGTCAATAATACAGTAATAACTGTATGGTGCCAGATGGGTACTAGACTAGTCAGGGGGATCACTTCGTAAATTATAAAAACGTCCAACCACTATGCTATACACCTGAAACTGATATAGTATTGAAGTTTAAGTGTAATTGAAAAATCAAAAAAGGAGGGAAGGCGAAGGAAAATAAGAGGTTCAAACTTCCAAGTATAAAACAAGTAAGTCATGGAGATGCAGTGTACAGCACATGGAACATAGTCAATAATGTTGTGATAGCATTGTATGGTGTCAAACAGTTGCTGGACTTATCAAGGTATCACTTCTTTATGTATATAAATGTTGAATAACTATGGTGTACAGTTGAAAGTAATACAGTATTGTATGTTACCTATATTTTAATAAAATCTTTTTTTTTTAATATGCTTGTTACTGTGGAGCATAATTTTTAAAAAGTTTTAAAGCACCTATCCTGGAGATCTAGGTCTAATACCTCAAGACCCAAAAACTAAATGTTTTCAATAGTCCTCCGTACCTACACATAATCTCCTTGCTCAAACTGGACTCTTGGAAACCAATTTAAGAACTCCAGGGCAGCACAGAAAAACTGGGACATGCCTCAGCTCAACTGGTATTTGGACTGGGATTATTAGCAAAATTTCCCAAACAGCCCTAGAGGGTGCCAACAAATTCCTTGTAGGTTAGCAACCTTCAGAGTAGAGCTCCTCCTTCCTCCACTGACTGTAAATAGTTCAACTTCCTTAACTCCAACTTCCAGAATCGCTGTGTCCCGAGACAAGACAATTACTACATCAATTCTCAGAATGTCTTTCTAGGAGAGGTCCTAGAACTCTGTACTCCCCATTCAGTGCTCTCCACACAGAGCCTATACAAGCCCCCTCCACGATCCCAAGACAGCGTACTCTCCACCCAGGTCCCATCTTACTCCTGTCCCCTTATTCTCAACGTTTCCCAACTTGGGGGGGGGGGGCACATAAATT